GAAACGGTTCAAAAGGGCAATTCCGACTTTTATAACTCTTAGCTTTTTGAGAATCAGCCAAATCTGGCAAACCTACATAGACCCCATGTCCAAGAAAATTTGTGGGCGTCGTTTCCAGAGCTCTGTCCAGTTTTCAAGACTACCTGTATAGGTGCTAGGCTGAGCTCTTTTTGAGCTTGTCTTGGACATTTGACCATCTCTAAAACACTGCATCTTCTGGCTCGTGGTCTAGGGGTATGATTCTCGCTTTGGGTGCGTGAGGTTCCCGGGTTCAAATCCCGGATGAGCCCTCGCTCATTCCTGGCATTAGTCGCTCAGATCTACTACTCAATAAAGCAAGGTGGTACAAGGTGAATTCCCTGTTCACAAGGGCTTTCAACACCTTTTTGGACTCTTGCAGAATACATTTCAGTAAAGGTAATGGAAAAACCACAGCAGGGTCAAAAATGAACACCAGCCACCAGCCAATGATGGAAAGATTTGACCATTACAGGACAGCTCTCATTGAACAATCAGCCAAATCTGGTAAACCTACTTAGACCCCATGTCCAACATAAGTGCATGGGCATGGGCTCTAGAGCTCGTCGAGCCTTCGAGACTGCCTGTATAGGTGCTCGTCTGATCTCTTTTTGAGCTTGTCGTGGACATGGGACCATCTTTGAAGTTCTGCATCATGTGGCTCGTTGGTCTAGAGGTATGATTCTCGCTTCGGGTGTGGAGGTCCCGGGTTCAAAATCTCGGACGAGCCCTCTCCCTCGTCCAAAGATGTGGTTACAGGACAACCGCGCCATACAGGAACATAGTACAAGGTGAAACTGTGTTCACAAGGTTATTTCCTGCTATTACAACTCTTTACAGAATACATTTCAGTAAGGTAAATCGGAAAACTAAAACTGCGTCAACAATAAACACCTGCCACCAGCCAATGATGGGAAAGACATGTCCCATTAATGGACATGTCTCTATTGAGAATCAGCCAGATCTGGTAAACCTACTTAGACCCAAGATAATTGGAGGAGCCCTCTCCCTTTCCTTGCATAGTCGCTCAGATCAACTACTCAATAAAGCAAGGTAGTACTAGGTGAATCCGTGGTCACAAGGGCATTTACAGCTTTTTGAACCTCTTAGCTTTTTGAGAATCAAGCCAAATCTGTAAATCCTACTTAGACCCATGTCCAAGTCATTTTTGTGGGCGTCGCTTCCAGAGCTCTGTCCTGTGTTCAAGACTACCTGTATAGGTGCTAGGCCTGAGGTCTTCTTGAGCTTGTCATGGACATGTGACCATCTCTAAAAATCTGCATCTTCTGGCTCGTTGGTCTAGGGGTATGATTCTCCGCTTAGGGTGCGAGAGGTCCCGGGTTCAAATCCCGGACGTGCCCTTTCCCTTACCTTGCAATAGTCTCTCAGTTCAACTACTCAATAAATCAAGGTAGTTTGGTGAAACTGTGTTCAAAAGGGCAATTCCTTCTTTTACAACTCTTTACAGAATACATTTCAATAAGGTTAATCGAAAACCAAAACAGGGTAAAAAATAAATACCTGCCACCTAGCCAATGATGGGAAAGATTTGACCATTATAGGACAGCTCTCATTGACAATCAGCCAAATCTGGTATAACCTATCTAGACCCAAGATAATTGTGAGGCGTCGCTTCCAGACCTATGTCGAGTGTTCAAGACTGCCTTATATAGCTGCTAGGCTGAGCTCTTTTTGAGCTTGTCTTGGGACACGTGACCATCTCTAAAGTCTGCATCTTCTGGCTCGTTGGTCTAGGGGTATGATTCTCCGCTTTGGGTGCGAGAGGTCCCGGTTCAAATCCCGATGAGCCCTCTCCCTTTCCTTGCATAGTCGCTCAGATCAACTACTCATAAAGCAAGGTGGTACAAGCTGATTACCTGTTCACAAGTTGCTTTCACACCATTTTGGACTCTTGCAGAATACATTTCTGTAAAGGTATGGAAAAACCACAGCAGGGTCAAAAAATAAACACCAGCCACCAGCCAATGATGGAAAAGATTTGACCATTACAGGACAACTCTCATTGACAATCAGCCAAATCTGGTAAACCTACTTAGACCCAAGTCCCACCAGAAGTGATGGGCATGGGCTCTAGAGCTCGGTCGAGCCCTTCGAGACTGCCTGTATAGGTGCTCGGTCTGAGCTCTTTTTGAGGTTGTCGTCGGACATGGGACCATCTTTGAAATTCTGCATCGTGTGGCTCGTTGGTCTAGGGGTATGATTCTCGCTTAGGGGTGCGAGAGGTCCCGGGTTTCAAATCCCGGATGAGCCCTTTCCCGTACCTTGCATAGTCGCTCTGGTTCAACTACTCAATAAATCAAGGGTAGTACTAGGTGAAACTGTTCAAAAGGGCAAGTTCCAACTTTTATAACTCTTAGCTTTTTGAGAATCAGCCAAATCTGGCAAACCTACTTAGACCCATGTCCAAGAAAATTTTGTAGGGCGTCGTTTCCAGAGCTCTGTCCAGTTTTCAAGACTACCTGTATAGGGTGCTAGGCTGAGCTCTTTTGAGCTTGTCTTGGACATGTGACGATCGCTACAAGACTGCATCTTCTGGCTCGTTGGTCTAGTGGTATGATTTCTCGCTTTTGGGTGCGAGAGGTCCCGGGTTCGAATCCCCCGACGTCCCCTCTCCTTTCCTTGCAAAGTCGCTCAGATCTACTACTCAATAACGCAGAGGTGGTACAAGGTGATTCCTGTTCACATGGGCTTTCTCTCCTTTTGGTCTCTTGCAGAATACATTTCAGTAAAGGTAATGGAAAACCACAGCAGGGTCAAAAATGAACACCCAGCCACCAGCCAATGATGGAAAGATTTGACCATTACAGGACAGCTCTCATTGACAATCAGCCAAATCTGGTAAAACCTACGTAGACCCAAGATAATTGTGAGGGTGTTGCTTCAGACCTATGTCGAGTGTTCAAGGACTGCCTTGTATAGCTGCTAGGCTGAGCTCTTTTTGAGCTTGTCTTGGACACGTGACCATCTCTAAAAGTCTGCATCTTCTGGCTCGTTGGTCTAGGGGTATGATTCTCGCTTTGGGTGCGGGAGGTCCCGGGTTCAAATCCGGGACGAGCCCTCTCCCTTTCCTTGCAGAGTTGCTCAGAGCAACTACTCAATAAAGCAAGGTGGTACAAGGTGAATTCCGGTTCACAAGGGACTTTCACACCATTATGGGTCTCTTGCAGAGATACATTTCAGTAAATGGGTAATGGAAAAACCACAGCAGGGTCAAAAATAAACACCAGCCACCAGCCAATGATGGAAAGATTTGACCATTACAGGACAGCTCTCATTGACAATCAGCCAAATCTGGTAAACCTACTTAGGACCCATGTCCAACATAAGTGTATGGGCATGGGCTCTAGAGCTCGGTCGAGCCTGCCTGTATAGGTGCTCGTCTGATCTCTTTTGAGCTTTGTCGTGGACATGGGACCATCCTTTGAAGTTCTGCATCATGTGGCTCGTTGGTCTAAGGTATGATTCTCCGCTTCGGGTGTGAGAGGTCCCAGGTTCAAATCCTGGACGAGCCCTCTCCCTCGTCCAAAGATGTGGGATACAGGACAACCGCTCCATACAGAAACATAGTACAAGGTGAAACTGTGTTTCCCAAGGTTATTTCCTGCTATTACAACTCTTTACAGAATACATTTCAGTAAGGTAAATCGGAACTAAAACAGCGTCAAAATAAACACCTGCCACCAGCCAATGATGGGAAAGACATGTTCCCATTATAGGACATGTCTCATTGAGAATCAGCCAGATCTACTTAGACCCAAGATAATTGGAGGAGCCCCTCCCTTTCCTTGCATAGTCGCTCAGATCAACTACTCAATAAAGCAAGGTAGTACTAGGTAAATCCGTGGTCACAAGGGCATTTACAGCTTTTTGAACTCTTAGCTTTTTTGAGAATCAGCCAAATCTGATAAACCACTTAGACCCATGTCCAAGAACATTTTTGTGGGCGTCGCTTCAGAGCTCTGTCCAGTGTTCAAGACTACCTGTATAGGTGCTAGGCTGAGGTCTTCTTGAGCTTGTCATGGACATGTGACCATCTCTAAAAATCTACATCTTCAGGCTCGTTGGTCTAGGGGTATGATTCTCGCTTAGGGTGCGAGAGGTCCCGGGTTCAAATCCGGACGAGCCCTTTCCCTTACCTTGCATAGTCGCTCAGCTTCAACTACTTCATAAATCAAGGTAGTATTGGTGAAACTGTGTTCAAAAGGGCAATTCCTTCTTTTACAACTCTTTACAGAATACATTTCAATAAGTTTAATCGAAAACGCAAAACAGGGTAAAAAATAAATACCTGCCACCAGCCAATTGATGGAAGATTTGACCATTATAGGACAGCTCTCATTGACAATCAGCCAAATCTGGTAAACCTACTTAGACCCAAGATATTGTGAGGGCGTCGCTTCCAGACCTATGTCGAGTGTTCAAGACTGCCTTATATAGCTGCTAGGCTGAGCTCTTTTTGAGCTTGTCTTGGACACGTGACATCTCTAAAAGTCGCATCTTCTGGCTCTTGGTCAAGGGGTATGATTCTCGCTTTGGGTGCTGGAGATCCGGGTTCAAATCCCGGACGAGCCCTCTCCCCTTCTCCTGCATGGTCGCTCAGATCATCTACTCAATAAAGCAAGGTGGTACAAGCTGATTCTGTTCACAAGGGCTTTCACACCATTTTGGACTCATTGCAGAATACATTTCAGTAAAGGTAATGGAAACCACAGCAGGGTCAAAAAATAAACACCAGCCACCAGCCAATGATGGAAGATATTGACCATGTACGAGGACAACTCTCATTGACACTCAGCACCAAATCTGGTAAACCTACTTAGACCACAAGTCCACACAGAAGTGTATGGGCATGGGCTCTAGAGCTCGGTCGAGCCTTCGAGACTGCCTGTATAGGTGCTCGTCTGAGCTCTTTTTGAGGTTGTCGTGGACATGGGACCATCTTTGAAGTTCTGCATTCGTGTGGCTCGTTGGTCTAGGGGTTTGATTCTCGCAGTAGGGTGGAGAGGTCCCGGGTTCAAATCCCGGACGAGCCCTTTCCCTTACCTTGCATAGTCGCTCTGTTCAACTACTCAATATATTCAAGGTAGTACTAGGTGAAACTGTGTTCAAAAGGGCAATTCCTACTTTTATAACTCTTAGCTTTTTGAGAAATCAGCCAAATCTGCAAACCTACTTAGACCCATGTCCAAGAAAATTTTGTGGGCGTCGCTTCCAGAGCTCTGTCCAGTGCTTCAAGACTACCTGTTATAGGTGCTAGGCTGAGGTCTCTTGAGCTTGTCATGGACATGTGACCATCTCTAAAATCTGCATCTTTGGGCTCGTTGGTCTAGGGCGGGGGTCACTAACAGGCGGACCCGCGGTCCGGGTCCGGACCCAGACGCCGTCCTATACGGACCCGGACTATAGTCAATTAATTATTCAAGTATTTTACATTTTGACGGGCGCGCTTCTATTTTGACCGGCGCAGCGTTTCTAGAACTTTACGGTACTGGTTTAGCGAATCAGGAAATCCACTGACCAATTGCATTCGTGTTAAGCAATCCCACGTGATGCTACTCAGCCAATCGAATCTCGTGCATTCCCGGCGCTGGCTGCCAGACAGTGAGACAGTGAGCGATCATGCGAGAGATGAGCAGAGAAGAAGTCAGATAAGAGTGAGTAATACAGCGGGAGAAGAGAGTAATACAGCGGGAGAAGAGTGAGAAAGACAGCGGGAGAAGCAGATAAGCAAGCGGGAGAAGAGAGTAATAAGCGGGAGAAGCGGGAGAAAGACAGCGGAGAAGAGAGAGAAAGACAGCGGGAGAAAGGCAGATAAGACAGCGGGAGAAGAGAGTAATACAGCGGGAGAAGGAGTGAGTAATACAGCGGGAGAAGAGCGAGAAAGACAGCGGGAGAAGAGTGAGTAATACAGCGGGAGAAGCGGGAGAAGAGAGTAATACAGCGGGAGAAGAGTGAGTAATACAGCGGGAGAAGCGGGAGAAGAGAGTAATACAGCGGGAGAAGAGTGAGTAATACAGCGGGAGAAGAGAGTAATACAGCGGGAGAAGAGTGAGTAATACAGCGGGAGAAGAGAGTAATACAGCGGGAGAAGAGTGAGTAATACAGCGGGAGAAGAGTGAGAAAGACAGCGGGAGAAGAGTGAGAAAGACAGCGGGAGAAGAGAGTAATACAGCGGGAGAAGAGTGAGAAAGACAGCGGGAGAAGAGAGTAATACAGCGGGAGAAGAGTGAGTAATACAGCGAGACAGAAAAGAGACAGAGTGAGCCGGAGAACTACACATGGCGCTCTCTAAGAAGAGAAAAGTGGACAGCAAAAACAGAGCTTTCAACCCAGAATGGACAGACTCTTTCATGTTCTTTCTTCCCACTGGAACACAACCAAACCAGTCTGTCTCATATGCTCAGAGACAGTGGCACTCATAAATACGTGCCAACGTGAAAACGCCACTATGAGACAAAGCACAAAGTTTGCCACCAAACATACCCACTCAAGTCTGAACTGCGGTCACAGAAAATAAGCAGCCTCAGAGCCCACATATGAACAATCCACCCGGATCCTGACCCCATTCATTCACTGCCCAACAACGTGCTAATGATTGTTCCCCTACTGCTGTCACTTGGATTTTGGGTCAACACAAAAAGCCATTTACTGATGGAGGGGGTTGTCATAGGAGTGCATGAGTGCAGTAGCTGAAACTTTTCTTGAGGGGAAACAGATAAGAAGAGCTTTGTGACAAAATAAAGCAAATACCCATGTCAGCATCATCAGCCACAAAGAAAAGTGAAATGTTAACCCAGGATGTGCTGGCCCAGCTGGATGAAGCCATTCATAAGGTACCATGTGTAGGCTTAGCTGTAGATGAGTCCACTGATGTGTCTGACAATGCTCAGCTGTTAGTTTATGTAAGGTTCTTCAACCAAGAAAAGAAAGAGTTCTGTGAAGATGTGTTAGGTGTAACTCCCCTTAAGACAAGTACCAGAGGAGAGGACATCTACCTGGCCATTAGGGATGTTAACACAGCGAGGAATAGAGCCAAAACAAGTGGTTTCAATAACCACAGATGGAGCCCCTGCCATGATAGGGAGAGAGAAAGGAGCTGTGGCAAGAATGAAAGAGGACAATCCTGAGCTCATCTCTTACCACTGCATAATACATCAATCTGTCCTGTGCTCCACCCTGTCAGATGAGCATGCTGAAGTGATGAACACAATGATGAAGATGATCAATTTTCTCAGGGCATCCTCTTCCTATCAGCATCGCATGCTCAGGGAATTCCTCAGGAAGTTGATGCAAACGCTGATGATCTGTTGCTGCACAACAACGTGAGATGGCTAAGCAAAGGCAGGGTGTTAGAGCGCTTTTGGTCCATCAGAAGGGAAGTCGCAGCTTTCATGGAAGAGCTGAGAAGTCAGAAGGCAACAGAGTTTTCTCTTTTTTAAAGGATGAGAAAAGGATGGATAATGTGGCCTTTTTTGTTGATATCACTTCACACCTTAATGAACTTAATTTGAAGCTACAGGGTAAGGACAATACAATTTGTGAACTGATGACAGCTGTCCGCTCCTTTCAGAGGAAACTTGAAGTGTTCAAGGAAGACCTGCAGGAGACTGTGCACACTTCCCAGCAGTGCAGGATCAGGTTCAGGGACAGAGAGATGTGTCTTCTTTTGGTGACTTTGTTGATAAGCTGATTTTAAACTTCTCCAAACGTTTTGACAGCTTCCGCTTTGGACAGCAGCTCACCTTGTTCATTCAGAACCCATTTCTCATCACAGATGTCAGTGGGTTCTCAAAGGAAGTCACACAGCACTTCAAATGGGCAAATGCTGGGCCTCTCCAGATGCAACTGATTGATCTCCAAGCAGATGTGGCGCTGAAAGAGCAGTTTGGAATAACTGACCCCGCCACTTTCTGGCTCCAAATGGTCTCTGAGACAGCTTTCCCAGGTCTGAGGAAAGTAGCCCTGTACACATTGACCATGTTTGGCTCCACATACAGCTGCGAGGCAGCTTTCTCTGCAATGAACATTATTAAAAGTAAATATCGATCCAGGCTCACCAATGAGCACCTGCACATGTGCATGAGAATGGCCCTGACACCATTCCAGCCTAGATTTAAACTCCTGGCAGGAAAAGCTAGAGCTCAGTTCTCTCACTGAACAACAGAATGGGGGGAGTTGGATAAAAGAGGGAAAGAAAGAGAAGCTAAAACTGTTCAATTGTTAAAATATGTTGAGATATCTATATATGTTGAGAAAAAGGGGAAACTCAAGCTGCTGCTATACTTTATTTTATTTTTCAATAATGAAGTATATATTTTATCTTTATTTTAAGATTATTATTATATTTATTTTCACCATTTTGATTTTAAATGCAGCCCTTCTTTTCCTTGAAAAGATTGGTTTCAGTTGAGTCAGTTGAACCTCCTTAAATAATACATATCTTCATTATCTGTTATATTATCTGTATAAAAGTGACAATAAATATTGTCAAATGTTTTTGAATTGTTCTTCCTATATTGATCTGACAGTCAGTTGTTGATTACATGCAGACGTTGATACAACTACTAGGCTTCAATACATATCACACTGAATCATAATGCAAGTTAGACATTATGATGTTCCGGACCTTTGCTTGAGGACATTTTCTCTAACTGGACCTATTTGAATTTTAGTTGAATACCCCTGGTCTAGGGGTATGATTCTCGCTTAGGGTGCGAGAGCTCCCGGGTTCAAATCCCGGACGAGCCCTTTCCCTTACCTTGCATAGTTGCTCAGTTCAACTACTCAGTAAATCAAGGTAGTGGTGAAACTGTGTTCAAAAGGGCAATTCCTACTTTTACAACTCTTTACAGAATACATTTCAATAAGGTTAATCGAAAACCAAAACAGGGTAAAAAATAAATACTTGCCACCAGCCAATGATGGAAAGATTTGACCATTATAGGACAGCTCTCATTGACAATCAGCCAAATCTGGTAAACCTACTTAGACCCAAGATAATTGTGAGGGCGTCGCTTCCAGACCTATGTCGAGTGTTCAAGACTGCCTTGTATAGCTGCTAGGCTGAGCTCTTTTTGAGCTTGTCTTGGACACGTGACCATCTCTAAAAGTCTACATCTTCTGGCTCGTTGGTCTAGGGGTATGATTCTCGCTTTGGGTGAGAGAGGTCCCGGGTTCAAATCCCGGACGAGCCCTCTCCCTTTCCTTGCATAGTCGCTCAGATCAACTACTCAATAAAGCAAGGTGGTACAAGGTGAATTCCTGTTCACAAGGGTATTCACACCATTTTGGACTCTTGCAGAATACATTTCAGTAAAGGTAATGGAAAACCACAGCAGGGTTAAAAATAAACACCAGCCACCAGCCAATGATGGAAAGATTTGACCATTACAGGACAACTCTCATTGACAATCAGCCAAATCTGGTAAACCTACTTAGACCCAAGTCCA